GGCTCCACGGGTTCTCGGCGTCCATCGTCAGCGATCGGGACCCTGTCTTCACCGGCCACGTTTGGCGCGACTTGTTCAAGATGGTGGGCGTCCAGCTCCGCATGAGTACCGCCTTCCATCCCTAGACCGACGGGCAATCAGAGGCGGTCAACAAAACGATTGCTATGTATCTGCGCTGCCGGGCTTGGCTGGACTGGCTCCCATGGGCCGAATACTGCTACAACACCGCTTTCCACTCCGCCTTGCGCACCACACCGTTCCAGGTGGTTTATGGTCGCCCGCCGCCGGCACTGCTGCCTTACGCGCCATCCTCGGCGCGCACGGCGATGGTTGATTCTCTTCTGTAGGACCGCGACTCCTTCCTCGCCGACGTCCGTGACCGACTCCTCCAGGCCCAAGCCTGCGCCAAGCGCCACTACGATGCACACCATCGCGCCTTGGAGTTCAGTGTCGGTGACTGGGTGTGGCTCCGCCTCCACCGGCCCGCCCAGTCCTTGGTCCCCGGGGCACGGGGCAAGCTGAGCCCGCGCTACGCCGGGCCGTTCCAGGTGCTGAACCGTGTCGGCGACGTCGCTTATCGTCTTCGCTTGCCGGACGGAGCCCGCAACCATGATGTCTTCCACGTCGGCGTCCTCAAGCCCTTCCACGGCACTCCTCCAGCAGCAACACCGCCTCTTCCACCGCTGCATCATGGTCGTCTCCTCGAGGCTCCAGAACGCGTGCTGCGCTCCCAGCTGAGACGTGGCGTCTGGCATGTCCTCATCCAGTGGGCGGGACTGCCTGAAGCTGAAGCCACCTGGGAGCCTGTCGACGCGTTCCGCACGGCGTACCCGGACTTCCAGCTCGAGGACGAGCTGTTTGTCGACGGCGGGAGTGATGTTATGGTGGGCCAGGTCTACCAGCCTTGTAAGCGCAGCCGTGGCTGAGCAGCGGCAACAGCACGCGCGCGGCGCGTGGCCTTTCCATGGTGACCGCGCCCAGTGTGGGGCGCCGTTCCTAGAGTCTAGGATCTCAGATTCAGTTCAGTTAGTGATTTGAAGTTTGTTAGTCAGTTGGTCAGTTTGTTAGCATGTGGCTATAAAGCCTAAACACTTGGTTAATGAGAAGTTTAGCTGGAGATTGATTAATCTCTCCCGCTCCTCTGTTCTCGTGCTTCGACGCCGGCCGCCAGGACGGCATCGCAGCCTCGCCGCTGCCGTGAGATCAAGCCACGCCCGCCTACCACCCACGACTACTTCCTCAGGGGCAGTAGCAGCGAACCCAACATCATATGTCACAAATCCTTGCATCCACAAAGCAAGCGCAACCCCCCTCTGATTTGCTCTAGCTCCACCCCTATGCCTTGGCCTGGATTTCTGGTTAGTTCTTGGACAGTTCTAGTATGTGTATGCCTGCCAATCCAACCACTATTCTGTTTCAATCAAATGAAAGAACTAGAAATCTATTATACAATCATGATGGCATTGCAAGAATAACAAAGGGGTTGAAAATGAACTTGTCCAGCTTATTTGATAAAAAGTTGTTATGTGCTTTGCTGCAAGTTTATCTGACAAGTTTTCTTCGTTTTGATGATACTTGAACCTTGAAATATTAATAGTTCCTTCAAGAAAGATCATAGCAAGGGTTTATCTGAAGCCCAGAAGCATGAAAAGTCGCTTCCTGGATCTTCGATTATATGGTGAGAATGTTGCCCCTTTTTTCACAGTGAAGCTTTGCTGACTTTCCATCCATGACTATTTATATATCGACTTAAAAGCAGTGATATTGAAGATGTTGAAGATGTTGGTGATTGCGATGACAACTTTGTGAAAGCACCGTTATCAAACAACATAACAGGTAATCACCCAATAATTGAAGCTGTCGTATTGTCAATGCATAAACAACAATGATTCTGATCTTGAAATCCTTTCAAAGACGCCTTACCAACAAAATCGTGTAAAAGTCACTCATAAGTATTCAGTTGCATACACCGACCAATTTGACCCAAAAGCTTAAGCTCATGGGGAGAGGTGGGTAATTCACTTATATTCCAACAATAAGTCAAAGCTAAAAATAATAGTGGTTCTGACCAGCAGTCTTGAATACTAATTAAATTTTGTGTCCAATTCTACATGGCACTTCTATTCTGATGATTGAATGTTGCTGGTTAAAAGTTGTGCTCCTAATTTTACATATCATGTTTGTATTTATTGCATTAATCCAGTTTTGTACATTTCTGTAGCTAACCTTAAGAAAAAGGGTAAGAGAGCATTAGAGGTGGCGAATTTGCAGAACAGCTCTGATTTAACTGATGTTGTCACAAAGGATAACGTAAGTCGTGCAAACAATGCATGATTTCATTTGTATCATAGAATTATATCTAATTTTGCTTTTGCACAGGTTCGACGGATTAGAGCAAGGAAGGTGCCAGTGTAAAGAGCTACTCACATATGATCTTAGTATTTATCTGATTTTCGTCCCATGTAAATAAATACTTACTTCTGGAATCATTTATACTTGCATATCCACTTGCGAGTATTGTCATGATTGTAGGAATCTTGGTCCCGGTCGACCATGTAACATTGTAATTTAAATAGGGATGGGCATGAGTCTCTTATGGCGTCTTCTCTAATGTTATCCTTGATTAGTACCCCTCTTGTAGGACTTTTTAACTTTTCTAGATACATTAATTTTACATTAATTTTATGTATCTAGACATAGCGAAGAGCAAAAGCTATATATAAGTTATAGTAAATTACTACAATTTAGATTGGAGTAACATGGTACCCACCCTTTCAGTGCTGGTTCATCATTGCCGAACCGGCGATGATGGTGCCTACCGGTCCATCACCGTTGGTTTTTTTTTTTTTTTTTTGCTAAAACTAGCAGTGATAGGACCAACCGGTAGTGATATTCGGACTATGAATCGGCAGTGATATTGGGTCATCATTGCCAGTTTTTGGTTAAAACCGGTTTGTGGCTTAACCGACAGTGATATGTTGCACGAAAAACTTTATAACTTTCTCATATGATGTCCGATGAAGATGAACTTTATATCAAAGTTGTAGTACTCGATGAGATCTACAATTTTAGTCATGTTTGCTTTGCTGAAAAGCTATGGTTGAAAGTATTGGTCGCTGATTTGTTGTGAGACAAAAACATGTTCGCTGAAATAGTACGACCTTCGTTCGCTGAAATAGTATGACTCATAAGACAAGCGAACAGGGTCTTTGTAGTTTAAACTTTTTTGATTTGAGATCGTTTGGATGTCTAAATATACACCATAAGATTTTATAGAGTTAGGGGATGTTTAGGAGTGCTCCGCAAACTTCATCGTGGAGCAGCTCCATAAAAAACTGGAGTTTGCGGAGGAGCTCTAAAGAAATTGGTGTTTATGGTGCACCACTTTACGTGCTCTCACAACTTTACCATTTTTCCTCGAACAAGGTGCGTGGAGCTGAAGCCATTTGGTTATAAAACGTGGAGCGGAGCTGAAAAACGTGGAGCAAGAGCAGTCCCAAACGCCCCCTTAATACCAACGGAGTTCATATGCTCTATAGTCAAGTAAGTGTCTAGTGGTAGTTAAGGAACTTAGGACTCAACCTGGGCATTCGGTTAAAACCGACAAATCGGTTCGGTTGACATCAACAACCGATCGGTTGTTTGTAGAATCAACAACCGACAAATTCGGTGTCGGTTTCTTAGTTCGGTTTTTCGGTTTCCACCGAAGTAACCGAAACTATCGCAGAGAAAGAAAAGACGAAAGGGAGAGAACGTCGGAACAGAGAAGAACGAATCGAGTCGCAAAAGAAAAAGAGAAGAACGAATTGACGGGCTTCGGGGCCTCAGATGCGCCTTAGCCCGGTGCCCGCAGCATCGCCTCCCTGCTCGGCGCTCGCGCTCACGCGCAGCTTTGACGGCCTCCTGCTCCTCTCGCGCTCCCTCGTAGAAGCGCTGCTCGGGGCTCCACGCCTCCCGGCTCACGCCATCCACCGCAGAAACCGCCGCAGCGAATCACCGTCTCGGCATCCGCGCCACCCCGCCATTCCACCGCTGTAACTGCCGCCGCCTCCTCCAAAGCTCGGATAGGGAAGGGTTGAAGGGATAGGGTTACGAGTATTTTTTTTTGAGAAAGGGTTTACGAGTATGTAGCTGTGTGTGGGCTGGCCTCACGTGACTTGTATGCCTTGGAGTATGGTGGGCCGTCTTGACTTCTGGGCTGCTGGGTGTGCACTTAGGTGCCTCACCGCCTGGTGCCTGTGCGACGCGCCGTGCGCTGGCTGGGAGTTCGGTTGCTCGGTTTAACGGTTCGGTTGCAGCCTAAAACCGAAGCCGTTGCAGCCTAAAACCGAAGCCGAAGCCGATCACCGAACTGTGCGGATGCTGAAACCGAAACCGAAAACCGAAAAAACCAAAATTTTGATTCGGTTCGGTGCGGTGCGGTTCGGTTTGGTTTTCGGTGTATTTGTGCCCAGGCTGACTTAGGACGATCGAAACATAGATGTTGAAAAGTTATGTAATTTTGTAGTTTATAGTTTTTTTTATTTGAAGTTGATGTCTCTCTATTTGATTTGCAAGATTTCATAGAAGTTAATAACAAAGGAATCCACATATTCTGTAGTCCTAAGTGAATGTGTAGTGACTAAAGTTGCAGATTAAAAAAAAATATGCAACTTTGTAGTTGACAACTTTTTCATTTGAAAAAACGAAAACCTATCTTCTTTGATTCGTATTTATGCAGGAAAACAAAAAGGCTACCCTTATAGCTATATCTATACCCAATAAAAACAAAGGGCAGTTTATACACACACAAAATGGATCAAACGTGCTAAATCTACTAATAGAACTCTAGAAGAATAGCGAGGGCACAATCATCTCAATTATTGCGTCGTATACACAGCCGAAGAATTTCGTGGCGGTCCAAAACAGAGGACTCGTGCTGCAGAGTTCGCGCTGTGACACTTCCTCTTTTTCCTAACGTTTGCTGGACTGGAGAAGGGCACCGTCAGACATCAGTGACATCAGTGCAGGATCTGGCTCCTCTTCCCCGCAAAGATTGCCAGGAGATACATCGCAAGACACCCGAACACTGTGCCGCAGGTGGTCTCCCAAAAGTTCAAGTTCTTGATCCTCGCCTGCTCATCCGTCTCCGGATCTTTCGTGAGTTCAATATGAATGTTCATGCCAAACAAGCTCACGACCACGATGCCGGCAGTGACCACCACGGTCGCCGTCGTTAGCAGGACGCCCATTTGCAGTAGCTGGTTCTGCTTCTCGTCCAGCATTATGTTGATGTAATCCTCCGTGTCGTTCACGTATTCCCGGAGCTGTGGAATGCAATAGGCACAATATAGGTTACAAAAGCATGGTCGGAACAAGGACCATGGTAGCGATGTATTGTCACTAGACCATTCAGGATTACAGATACTTGCATCGTGTATTTTTCAGTGACTGGTCCAGCAGCGACTTTCTCAGCGCACTGCATTCATTTGTCTTTAAGTTTATGTATAATTGACAGCATGATCACCATTTTCTTAATCTAAAAAAATGATCCACCATTTTGCCTTTGTTATGGCAAGGACAAAAGAGCACATCAAATTGAAATATTTGTTGCAATTTCCATAATTACCTTTTTTCTAGTAAGACATATTGCTATCTGCTCTTAAGTATCATCATTATTTTTTTGACCGAAGTAGTATCATCATTATTTGACCATCAATCCTCAAAGGAAACCATGTGTAATACCAAAGCAATCTAATAGTGCAAAAATTAAATTAGGATAAGCTGTGAATAAGCAAGATGGAACATACATGGTACAGTTTGTTCAGCGTGCCGTCGATCTGCACGAAGTAGGCTTCAAGAAGCATTTCCAACTCTTCAACATCAGGCTTAACATAGGCAGAACTTTCACGGACAGTCTCTGTCTCATCATCACGATCTTCTTCCTCCCTGAATACAGTCATACAGGTAAGATTAAAATGAAAATAATGCGTGTGAAATAGGTTGTCGTTTCATCAATATATGTTTGTCAACATGTGCTTCTGCTCGGTAACATATCTTCCAAAAAAAGATTTAGGAGTTTACTTCCTGTTCACATCCTAGCATCTACAGACGGGATTACATACTTCTCGTTCTCGTTGTGATCCGTGGATGCATCCTTATTTGAATCGACTGAGCCCAATGTCTCGGGGAATCCTTGGAACGTGAGTTTTCTTGTCAGATACATCTCAGACATATCCATGTCGTCGTCCAGCAAGTGCTCGATTTCATCCCGCACCTACCAAAGAGCATATGCCACACAACACAACCAGAACGTCAAATGATTAGATGTAACAACACGCCACTTCAAACTTTTGAACTAAGAACAGGACACCTGCTTAACCTTCTGCACGCGCCCTGAGACCGCAACCAATCGGTTCTTGATATTCCTGACGTGATCCAACTTCAGTCTGCTAACCTTGGAGGTCAGCTCATCCAAGGCTGGGTAAGCTTCCTTCTCGAGAGTCAGCGTCTAGCACCAATGTGAATTCATCCTCAGGAACAAACAGGATTTGCAAAATTGATATAGAGATCTTGTGTAGGAAATATAGGATTTAGTGATGTACCTCACTTTCCAAGCATTTGCATGTGTGCTCGAGGCAGACCTCAAGCACCTTGAACTCGAAGGGAGTGATATCGACATTGCCAGCCCTGCAGAGCGCCACTGTTACCCCGTTTCCCTGATCCGTCTCTTTGTTGAGCGCCACTGTTGGCCCGTTTCCCTGATCCGTCTCTTTGCTGCGATCAGTCTCTGAACTCGTGCTAGAGACGTCCTTCACAGGAACAGAGGACAATTTTGCAGAAACGTCACAAAGAGTTCATTAGCTCAACTGCAGAGGGCAGAGTTGCAATCTAGTGTTGTAGAACAGAACAAACTCGTCTCCGTCTGGAAGAAGGAAGAAAGGTTCGTACCGGAGACGAGAGGCGGGTGTGGAGGCTCTTTAGAAAGGGGACGAGGAGCGGGTTGCTGGAGTCCAGGACGAGCGCCTCGGCGGCCGTGACGATGACCTTGACGTGCTCGAGGTTGACGACGACGGCGCGTTCGCGGCCCAGGATAGTGGAGGGGGAGTGGAGGTCCGGGTCGAGCACGCGGAGGTCGCGCGTGGGCAGGCCCGTCATCTCCATGATCCGGTGCTTCCCCAGCTCCGCCACGCGGGGCTCCCCCGCGGCCGCGGCCTGCACCACCAGCCACTTCCGGGTCGCCGCCGCGCCCTTCCGCCGCGTCACGTGCACTGACGGCGGCAGCAGCTTGCGCTCCATAGCCCCCGCCCGCCGGCTGGTTCGTGGTCGTGGTCGTGGCTGGCCTAGGGCTGTGGGGCTGTACTTTACCTGCCGCCGCCGCCGCCGCCGCCGCCCACCGCGGAATCAGCCTCGCTCGCGCAGTTGGTTAGTTCGTTGGGAGCGTGGAGGGCTGGGTCGGGTCGCGCTCGCTTGCTGAGGGCCCCGCGCCGCAAGGACGCGGTGCCACCTGGCGCTCACGCGGCGTGGGCTCGTGGCCACGGATGTGGTGGGTTCAGAATTTCTGATGCGTTACGTGGGTGACCAGGCTTCGGTGGTCGTCGGTTTCAGAATTTCCGTGCGTTACGTGGGTTATTCCTGATCACCGTGACCGTTCTGATGGGTTCAGTTTTTTATTAGGCTGTTCGGCTGGTATTAAAGTTGACTGATAAGCCGGTTGAAGCTGATTTGTTGCGAGAAAAAAATATTGTAGATTCTAGTTGATAAGCCGGCTAATAAGATCCGATGGGCGACGGCAGTGACGGATGCACAATAGGCGCATGCATCGTAGAATTCAGTCTTGTTCTGTTAATCAATCATAATATTAGTTCAATATAATCAATAATTCTAGTTTGAGAAATTGGGTTATTGTTGGGCCTAGAAAGGTTTCGACAAGTGAAGAATCTTAATGAGCTCTATATCAAACTTGTTTTTGTAATCCAGTTCTCTATCAAACTTGTTGAGACAACAAAGCACAATTGCTTTAAACGTGTTTATTTGTTGCTGAATGGTCCTGATCCTTCTTGTGGCGTTGAGAGTATTTTTCAACAATGAACTATGTGAAGACCAAGCTTCAGAATAAGATGGTGATGAATACTTTTGGTCATATTTGAGCGTGACATTTCCTGACGTGTAAGCGATGAAGATATCAGTAAACACTTTCAAGCCATGGTGGAACGGCGCTTGCAGGGGCGGAGCCAGGAAGTAAATTTTTTGAGTGTGTAGGGGGCGCAGTGTTAAATTTTCAAAATTTATTTGAATTTGAAAAAATTCAGTGGAAATTTTACAGCCTGGGCCCCTGCTCTCGGCCCCCCTTGTCTCCGCCCCCGGGCATGTGAATCTTTAGTTTTTATTATAGTATACTCCTCCGTCCAGGAAAGAATGCAATTCTAGTAAGTACCATGATTTTGTATTTTCAGTTTGATCAATTATAGATAAAAAGTATCAATATCTATGATATTAAGCAAATATCATTAGATTAGTTATAAAATGTCTTTTTATAATAAATTAATTTAGAGCCATAAATATAAATAGTATTCACTATAAATTTGGTCAAACGTGAACTACTTTTATTGGCACACAACTTATAATTGCATTCTTTCTTGGACGGAAGGAGTAATTTATAAGATTTAGCTGGAAACATATAACTTGTTCCATCTATATATATAATCACAACTATTTTATCATCATTTAGTGATCAAATTATGTCATGTGTCGATGTCGATGAACTATATCAGTTTGGTTCATATCCTATGATTGAAATCCTACCGACAAACCACCACCGGGCGACGGGGTGACCATCAGTGTGTATGAGATGGGAGGCGCGAGCTGGGCGGTGATATCAGGTGTGTGATTCTTCGTGATGTTTGACTGGAATTTGAGTTATATATAAGCTTGAGGTGCGTGTTTATTTTTTTAAATTTTATTTGAAAATTTAATAATATATTATTTTTCTAGTTGTAGGTGATGTGATCGGTAATGAAACTTTTATGGTGACTTCATTAATTTCGATATCAACCGGTTTAATCTTTCAAAGATACTCATACAATATCCATAGATATAACTATGTATATATAAGTGTTGTGTTCCTACTGTAAATCTTGAGAGAAAAATAAATATAAGTGTTGTGTTCTTACTGTAATTCTTGAGAGAAAAAATATCGCGTACGTTGGCGCATGACGGGTGCCTCATTAGAATGCCATTGCACTAGTTGACGTAGAATGAGTATAAACCACAGTAAGCTCATACTCCACATATATTTTTTCCCAGGGTTTATATGTCGAACCCGTTGCTCTGTTATTCTTTATTAAGTTTATTTATATGACTCTTGCGATAGTGAGGTTTGGTGGCGGCCATTTAAACAGCAAAATGAACGGAGGTAAATCACTCCTGAACTCCTGCATTAGTCTATCTCCTGTTTAATCTATATTACTAATAGTAGCTAGCATGGTTTTGGGCCTAGTTTCTATTCAAAATGCTGGGTGGATACTTGCCTTTTTTTGTCTTCATCTAATATAAATTGCGGTAAAGCTTTTGTCGTCATTTTAAAAAAAATAGTAGCTAGCTGTGTACTAGTTACTAGTAAAAATGAGTAAAACTAGTTTTGCCAATAAGTGCTACTTCGTAGCTCTTAAGATGCTATTTAGTAGAGCTAAGTGCACCGCCGGTCTTAAAACTTGTAGAAGTGTGCACCTAGGTTCATGAATTTTAAAAATATATTTATGGATCTCTAAACTTATTAAGTGGCATATCATAGGTCTATACCAGCTGTTTCTCGCTGGCGTGGCAAGCGGACATGACATGCTTTTTTACAGTTAACCTCTCTCGTTCTCTCTTCTCACACGAATCGATCCGTGTTTCCCTCTACTCTCTGCCCTCACTTCGATGTTGCTTGTCGCCGTTCCGCTCCACCACCAGCGAACACCTCGTCATCCATACATTCACTCGTACAGCGCGGGGCTTCTCACCGCTATCGAGGTGCACGGACAAGAGCGCAGCGACATGTCAGTGCTCAAAGAAGATCGACTCGCCGCGCATATACCATTGCTACTTCATCCTTTCGCCACGCCATAGGATGCGGTCGCACCTGCAATAACATTCATGCGTGTTAGCACGCTCGCGTGCACCAGCCAAGGTAGCCGGCCATTAGATAGTAAAAAATGCAACGAGAACTATTGTTACTGTAATTACTCCTACATGTGTGCATACATAAAGCAACTAGCTTCCCTACATATGCGCCAGCAGCAGCAGCATGTTGTGTTGTACAGCAGCAGGGTGAGGGGTGCCTTGGCGTCCACGGGTTGCAATCAGCGTGAGAGAAGAGGGAAGCAAAGAGAAGAAATGATTTATTTGTGAGATAAGAGGAAAGACGAGCGCTTAAATGTAGAAAATGTCATATCAGTAAAAAAAAATCCATATAGCTAGTATGGACTTAAGGTGCACCAATTAACAAGTTTCAAATCCAGAAAAAACATTTTTAAACTTCATGAACAAATGACACACACTTATATATTTATAAGTTCGAGAGCAGCTGGTATATTTAACTCTTTTAGTTAAGATTTCATTTGGTAGAGCTTCGACTCCTCTAAAAACCTCCTCTTGTGTGGAGTAGTTTATCTAGTGGGGTTAGAGCCGTCTTAAAAAATTATTTGACAAAAACGATTTTAGTGATAGTTTTATATTAATTTGTATTAGGTTTGTAAGTAAAGTTACTTTTTTTTAGCTTCATCTCCCAAAAGTAAAAAACGGTTTTCACTTTTTGTGGTTCCTTACAAAAGGCCTTGCCGAACATACCTTAGAAAATGGTTTGGGTTGTTGGGAGTTTTGGTGGACCGGTATACTCACTCCGGCCACAAAAGCATGTAATTCTCATATTTCGAGGAGTCAGACAAATTAAACTTTGACTGAAATTATATTAAAAATACTAACACTCGTGAAACAAAATAAACACCATTAGATTAGTTATAGAATATATTTTCATATTAAATTAATTTAGAGATATAAATGCTAACAGTATTTACCATAAACTTAGTCAAACTTGAACTAGTTTGACCGACACGTTTCTCATAATTGTATTCTTTTGTGGACGGATGGAGTATAATATAGTTACAAGAAATATCGCTAGGAGATTTATGACTGTCAGATTTTATTAACTTTGATTAGATTTATAGATGTTATCAATATTTTTATCTGTAAATAAGTTTGTTATAAAAATATATTTAACTAATATTAATATTTAGTTATAAATACTCGACGGAGGAAGTAGATGGGACCCTGAACCATTGCAGCCGTGTATAACAACCCTACCCCTCCCTTCCACCGCTCCGTTCCCGTCCTCGCCGCGGCGCGCTCCGCTCGACTCTCCCGCGCTGCGTCTCCTCGACTCCTCCGCTCTTCTCTTCTCCGGCTCCGGCCCCGGCCCAGATTCGACGGTGAGGACGGGCGCATCCTATCCCCTCTCCCTTTGACACCAACACTTTCCTCAAACTCTAACCGTCTCTGCTCTTCCCCGCCGTCTCGTTTTCCGCCTTCCTGCACACCTTGCTCCGTTTCTTCCTCGAACACAGATTCTGTGCCCCACCCCGACTCTACCTATAAATCTCACCAGCACACCCCCCGAATCCCGGCAGAAGCTAAGCTCGGGCCGCCGCCGCCGCCGCGATGATCCTCCGCATCCGCAGCCGCGACGGCACGGACCGCATCACGGTCCCAGACTCGGCCTCCGCCACCGTCGCCGACCTGCAGCGCCTCATCGAGTCGCATCTCACCGTGCCCGTCCCGCTCCAGCGCCTCTCCCTCGACCCGGCCCTCCTGCTCCCTAACCCCTCCGCCGCTGTTCCACTCCTCGCCAACCCGGCGGCGCCGCTTGCCTCCCTCCGCCTCGCCAACGGCGCCTTCGTCTACCTAGCATACCCGCCCGACGCGCGCTCCGCCCGCCCGCCGCCGCCCAAGGCGCTTTCCGCCGCCGGCTTCTTCGGCAAGAAAATGACCATGGACGACCTCATCGCGCGCCAGATCCGCGTCACACGCCAGGAGAACGCCCTCTGCGCCGCCGCCTCCTTTGACCGCGATGCCGCCAACGCGTTCCAGCTCTACGTCGCCGAGTCCCTCGCTTTCGCCGTCAAGCGGGCGGGCTTCCTTTACGGCCGCGTCGACGCAGAGACCAAGGAGGTCTTCGTGGACTTCATCTATGAGCCGCCGCAGCAGGGCTCCGAGGACGTGGTCCACCTCACGAGGGATCCCGAAGAGGAGGCCCGCGTCGA